TATATTATTTATAATATTAAAGTATTTTAAATAAATTTAATAATTTAATAATATAATTTTTCACTTATTGCAGTATTTAAAATTATTTTTATTGTAAAATACCTTTTGCAAGTTTTCAAAATATTATTAAATTTAAGGAATATTAATTAATAAATGCCTGTGTACTTTTCAGCCAGTACTGGAAATAGAATATAATCTAGAAGTTCCCTTTGTGTACTTCTGTCATCCTTATCCACCCAAAAGTTATTAGCAAGCTGAATTTTTGTTAAAGATGTACCTTTCATTTATTTATGGATTTATCACTATGTATGCATTCCTAAACAATATATTATTTAGATTTTTCTGGTTTTGAAATTTGTTTAAATAGACCCATACATGATTGTCTTTATTCCCTTCAAACTTGCTTTTGAGATTCATTGATTTTGATGCATATGGTTGTAATTTTACACCTTATTATTTCTTTATTCATTTTATTATTGTAAGACATGTAGGTGGTTTCTACTTATTTGTTACTACAAACATTCTTCTGCATGTGTCTAGGGCACAGGTTCAAGAGTTCTTCTAGAAAATGCATTAAGAAGCTGAATGGCTAAATCACAGGGTATATAAAGAGCAAATTTATTAGATAATGCCAATCTGCTTTCTGAAGTGATTGTAACAATTATATCCACATCCTCAGTGGATGAGAATTCATAGTACATCTCATTCTTGTCAACACTTTATATTGACATCCTTCTTAATATTTGCCAATTTGATGGTGTGAAATTGTGTCCATTGTGTTTTTAAACTTTAGTACTTGATTACTAATAAAGTTAAGCATTTTCTCGTATGTTTAATGACAATTGGATTTTGTCCTTTGGAAAATTTATGTTATTTTTTTAGTTCAGTTTTCCTTTTAGTATTTTGACTTTTATAAAATTGATTCATAGTTGTTCTGTATATATTCTAGATACTAACCTTTTATTGATAATATGTACTGTAAATATCTTTTCCTACTTTGTGGCTCTTCTCTTTATTAGCTTTAAAGTATTTTTCTATAAAAGCAATACCTTCATTTTACTGTGAATGATTTATCAAAGTTTTCCACTATAATCTCTTTCAGAGATTATTATAATCTCTTTCAGATAATCTCTTTCAGAGATTATTATAATCTCTTCCAGAGATTATTGTGTCTTGTTTAGAAATCATATTATCCTTAATTTATGTGTCTTTTTTAATAGTTTTGATTTTCACTTTTAAGTCTTTAATCCACCTGGAATTGACTTTTGTTTGTGATAAGGTAAGAATTCAATTCCTTTCTACTTAAAAAAATGTAAATGCCAATTGTTCTAGTAACATTTATGTAACAGTTCAGCACTCCCCTACTGTCCTCCAATGCCTCTAATATGGCCTCCAATGGCCCCACCTTCTAGGATTCATGGTCTTGTGTAATCGCCTCCCCTGTATTTAGTAACTTGGTCTTAATGAATAGATTGTGGCAGAAGTGATAGGATAATTCTTCTAAGATCAAGTTATAAAAGACTATGGCTTCAATCTTGGGTGTACTCGCTCTATCTTGCAGCCTCTTGGATTGATTGCTTTGGGAGAAGCCAGTTGCCATGTTGTAAGGCAGTCCTAGGGACAGGTCTCAGGTCTGCCAATAGCCATATGAATGAACTTGGAAGCAAATCCTTCCTCAGTCAAGCCTTCCAGGAGACTGTAGTGCCAGCCAACAGTTTGACTGCAACCTATTGGGAGACTCTGAGGCAGAGGCAGGCAGGCAAGCTGTGGCTGAATTCCTGACCCACAGAAACTGTGATATAATAAATGCCAATTATATTAAGCCACTAAGATTTGGAGTAATTTGTTGTGCAGCAATAGAAACCAATAGATACGGCTATTCATACTTTCTATTTCTTTTTTTCTTTCTTTTTTTTGCTGAGGAGGATCAGCCCTGAGCTAACATCCATTGCCAGTCTTCACCCCTCCCCCCTTTTTTTTTCGCTTGAGGAACATCAGCCTTGAGCTAACTTCTGTGCCAATCTTCCTCTATTTTGTATGTGGGATGCCTCCACAGCACAGCTGATGAGTGGAGCAAGTCTGTGCCTGGGATCCCAACCCATGAACCCAGTCCACCAAAGCAGAGCATCCGGAACTTTTAACCACTAAGTCATGGGGTTGGCCCCTTCTATTTCTTTTTTGAGTTTGTTTTGATAAGTGGTATCTTTCTAAGATTTTATCTAGTTTACCAAAGTTTTCATATTTGTTGGAAAATATTTTAATATTTCTTTTAATCTGCTTAGCCCATATGCTTCTGTACTATTTTCCATTCCTCATATTGCTTATATGTGCCTTCTTTGTTTTTTCAGTAATTATCTTTACAGAAGTATATCTATTTTCTTAGTGTTCTCAGATAGCCAAATTTTGACATAGTGATCCCTTCTCTTTTTGTTTTTTCTATTTCATTAATTTATTCCTTTTTCTAATTTCTTTGAAAACTATGTGACTCTCTGTTACGAGAAAGATGAACAATTCTTGCAATTCAAACACCTGGTCTCAAGGGGCAGGGTTCTTGTCCTTCACAGAAAAGAAATTCCAGATTCAGAAAACGTATCTTGTTCATAGTTGTCTAAGTTCTTGATAAATATTTTTTGATTAATACTTTAATATAATTCTGAAAAAATCATGTGGAGAACAATTCCTAGTTCAAGGAAGCCAACTCTGCCAATTGAGAAAACTGCTTGTTGAAGAGTCTGGTAGTGGAAATTATATTTCCAAATCAAAATATTAGAAAAAATAGTCTGAAAAGTAGAAGAGTTATGGAAGAATTGAGATAAAGTATTTGAAACTGGATATTTAAAAACCTGAGCTATACGGTTGTTATTTCTCATTCTAATAATATACCCTGAAACTGAGGAAATGGTCTTTACATATGTTCTAAGAATGAGCTGTACGTCTCACCTTTTCTCTCACTTCCCTAGGTCAATCACAGAAATAGAAATGATGGATATGGCTCTATCTTGTTCACATTACAGTAATGCCATAAGAGGGAACATCACCATATTCTGTTTCAACTAGATTATTTACTCACTTCTAATTACTCCCTTTGCTCAACAACCCCCTTGAATCAGGACTCACTCAGGAATGGTATCCCAAGGGCTTTTAAATTTCCACATATGAGAAAACAATGTAGCTATTAGTGTCTTGGAAGAAATTGTTGCAGAAGACAGAGATACATTCAGCCTTATCTCATTTAATCTGAGCTTGTTTCACTAAGAAGAAAGAGCTTTCCACATCATGGGAGAAGATTCCTGATTCTGGCTTATGGTGTGACGTCAGAGGCAAATTTGAGTGGAAGATACTAGAGAGACAGATGGTAAAAGGATCAAACTTCCTTCTTGTAAGTCACATAAATGCCATCTTCATCTCTTTTTTTCTACTCCTCTTTTCTTCCTCATGCATCCAGTGGAGAGGAGAATTTGGAGGTCCTGTTTTACAAATGGTCTCAGAGTCCAGGATGAACAGAAACATGGGACTATTGGGCACACGTATAGACGTTGTTTGCCTGGTTTATCTTTCACGTCATTACATTGGCCCACCAACTCAAAAACTCCGTTCTTATTATTGCCCTTTACAACCAGGGATTTGGACTTGATTCAAAATGATTAAAAGATTGGACACTTTAAATGAGCCTATGCCTGGACACCTTCAGTCTACTTTCTGTAATGTGTGATTCCTCTTGATAAAACATCCAGGACTTTTTTGGGGGCAGTATAGATTATGTATAGCTCTTAACTTGGGTTTGGTCACCTTTTAGAGTGCAGTGCAGAGCTTCTTCCTGAGGACAAGTGTCATGAAGGTAAACAGAGAAGTTCTAAATATTCAGAGGAATAGGGCAAAAGAGGAGCAGGTATCAAGTTTACTTATCAGGTTGTTTACAGAGACTAATATCTGATAGTATCATAACAGTCCTTATACAAGACAAAACAACTGAATGACATCTAATTCTTGTCAGTCCCTGAGTGAGTCATTTCACTATTTCATTTATAAAACATTTATTATGAACTTACTCTGTGCCAGACACTGTTTTTTGCACCAAGGATACAGCAGTACACATCAAAAAGGATTTACTCTCTTAGACTTTATATTTTAGTATGCGGTGGTGGCAGTGGTGCAGCTGGGAGACAGGGCGGCACTCTATTGCTTACTAAGGAGGAACAGGGACATTTTCAGAGCCTGGTGACATCAAAAGGAAAAATATGACTAACACTGGGGCAAAATTTGTCAAGCTCAATAATGCCATAGTCCATCACAGATGCATACAGCAGAAAGACTAGATGTCAGAAAAAAAATTTAGATCCCTATTTCTGCCATTTATAGCAACCTCAATTTAGAAGAGTTGCCTAGCCTTTCTACTGTTCAGATATTTTATTTTCTATAAATTTATCTCAAAGAGTTACTGTGAGGATTAAATGAACTGAGATCATGTACTGAAGGCATTTCCAACTGTAAAGCAGTGATTGTTCAACCCTTATGGCTCACTAAAAAAACAGAGAAATAAAATATAACCCTGTCAGTAGTAGTGGTTCACAAATATAGTGATTCTCAAGTCACAGTTCATATCTCCAGAGATGTGAAAGAGCTCCTATCAGATTCTGAGGCTTCTGATATTCCTCCACTCTGAAGGAGTATATGTTTGGGTGGGCCTCCTCCTTCCCTTTGAAAATACTTGCTCTAACATGTTTAGTTTTTTCAAGGTATTGTTTTAATAAGGGACATCTGCATTTAGAATCAGTACCATAAAAATTTGGTAAAGAAGCTATTAAGTTTGCTATGGCAGCTATATTCCAGTTAAAATGCCTTGCAATTTGGATCATCAGCAACCTGTCCACAACTTTGAACCAAAACACTATCATTTAAATTACACGTTTTATTTCCCCAGTATGTTCACCCCATTGACATCAAACCAGGACATTCTTCCATGTCCTCTGCTTCCTTTTTCTCCCCCAGGACTGGCTCTCATGGAGAAGAAGAACTGCTCGGTGGTGACTGAGTTCATCCTTTTGGGAATCCCACACACAGAGGGGCCGGAGACTATACTTTTTGTCTTGTTCTTGCCCTTTTATGCCTTTACCCTGCTGGGAAATTTGTCTATCCTTGTGGCTGTTCTTTCTTCCACTTGCCTTCACACACCTATGTATTTCTTCCTGGGGAATCTGTCTGTCTGTGTTTGACATGAGTTTCTCCTCTGTGACTTGTCCTAAAATGCTGCTCTACCTCATAGGATTGAGCCCAATCATTTCCTACAAGGACTGTGTCTCCCAGCTCTTCTTCTTCCATTTCCTTGGCAGTGTTGAGTGCTTTTTGTATACTGTGATGGCCTATGACTGCTTTACTGCTATCTGTTATCCTCTACAGTACACAGTTATCATGAACCCTAGAATCTGTGTGGCCCTGGCTGTGGGCACATGGCTGTTAGGGTGTATTCATTCTAGTTTCTTGACTTTGCTCACCTTCATCTTGCCATACTGTGGTCCCAATGAAGTGGATCACTTCTTTTGTGATATCCCAGCACTCTTGCCCTTGGCTTGTGCTGATATATCCTTAGCCCAGAGGGTGAGCTTCACCAATGTTGGCCTCGTATCTCTTGTCTGTTTTCTCTTAATCCTTGTATCCTACACTCAGATCACTATCTCCATCTTGCGTATTCGCTCAACTGAGGGCCATCGTCGTGCCTTCTCTACATGCAATGCCCACCTTATTGCCATCTTCTGTGCCTATGGGCCCATCATCACTGTCTACCTGCAGCCCACACCTAACCCCATGCTGGGAACTGTGGTTCAAATTCTGATGAATTTGGTAGGACCAATGCTGAATCCTTTGATCTATACCTTGAGGAATAAGGAAGTAAAAACAGCCCTGAAAAAAATATTGCACAGGACAAACCATGTTCCCAAGAGTTCGTAAGAGTGGATGGATGGGTTGATGACATGGAATTCTTTCTGCCCCAACATGTGAAATCTCATTCTGGAACACTCACATGTGACTTTTCAGCACTCGCTGAATGTTGTGGAACACTATATCACAATACTCCATTTTTTTGTCTATTTTATTTTCTTGTGTAATCTAAGTCCCTTCCTCCAAGCTTCAAAATAACGTAGTTTTAGTTGTTATTATTTTGCTTTTGTTCTGTGGAGAACCTCCTGCTACTAAAAAGAATGAACATAGTCTTTGCCATTGCACCATTTTGTCCACCTTTCCCAGTTTACTTCCCTTTAAACTATAAGTGAGACCAAGCCTATGAGAAAAAGCAATAAGTAGGAGAAAGAGGTTTTAACTAGCTGATTGAGAGCATGATAGGATCTTCTCTCTTTTCATATTAACAGACTAAATGTCAGAGGCAAAATGAAGTGTTTTCCTTTTCCTCCTTAACCGTATAAAAAGGGAATAACTTAGAATTTGTTAGTAAAGATGTTCTCTTCTCCATCCCGTGATTATCCTCATGCCTGATTTCTCTGCCTGAAGGTCTTTATGTAAATAAGATTAGCTCCAACTGCATAAGGAAAGTGAAAAGCTTTGTGACTAATATCCTAGACTAGATGTTTCCATTTCACTACTAGCTAATAATGTGATTACTAATGTGATAAAACAGTAGTTTTATCAGATCAGATTATTAGACTGAGCCAGTGGTTTTCCAAGCATGATTCAAGGAGCCTTGGGGTTCCAATGAATTTATTCTAAGTCTTCTGCGTTAAGTATAGTAAGATCTTCCCTTTTATCTACTTTATATACTAGATTTCTGGGAAAGATTCCATTGGAAAAGTTTGAAAGCCTCTGGAGTATGTGATCTCCACGGTAGCTTCCAGAACTAAAAAACATGATGTATTTTATTTTCTTCTACCCATAACTTGTTCCTGCATTTTATTCAGCACTTGAATCTTAACCTCACCTCTTCAATGTTCACTTGGGCTTGTTAGAGTTGTTAAAGCTCCCAGGTTCAATCTATTACCTGCCTACAATTTTACCCTTCCAATAAAAACAATTATGAAGGAAATATTTATTACTATACTTGGTCTCATGTGACCTCTTCGTTATTTGATATACATCAAAGATATCTACTTTGGCTCAGAAGTAGCTACACAGAAGCTTTGTGGAAGGCACTTATTAGATCTGAAATGCCGTAGAAGGCAGAGGGTTTCACTGGATCCATTGTATTAACTACCTAGAGTACACATAATTTTACTTCAACACTTGGCTTCTCTGACCAAAATACTAAGAACTGTACTATTCAAATTCCAACTAGAAAATCTCCTGATTCACTGTGCTATAACACAAGCTCAGTTCCACAATTCCCTCTCAAGAATTCTTAGACATGACTCCTAATAGCAAGGTCTCCTTCCAGAAATTTTTTAATCCTTAGAAATATCAGATATATAATTATTTTAAATAGCCTCTTCACCCACTTGTGCCTCACATTTCTGCCTTTGATTCAGTACTATGAAGATTATTATTTATAGAACCATTACTATTTGTCAGATATTATGCTAAATGCTATACAAAATAATTTCATTTAACTCTCAAAAATTCTTGTGATATTTGTAGTATTAGCCCCATTTTATTGATGAATTTGTAATGCTTAGAGAAAAAAACATAAGTCTCTTGCTCAAGATCACAGAGCTAGAATGTGATAAGGCCAGGTTATGAGGCTGAGACTTTTCGCTCTTACATATGTGGAAACTGCTTCCCAAATCCTCAGGAATCTTTCAAGCTAAGAAGTGATAAGGTACTAAGTGGGAGTGCTTGCCTTTATTCATGCCAACCAAAGAAGATAAAATATTCTAAATAAGGACATTTTTTTCCACGCTTATGAAGGAAATGATAACCAAGGGAGTCAGTGGTGTTTTTAACTCCAGGACGTATGTGGCAGAGGCACCAAGGGTTCTGGCCCCATAGTGAGATATGATGAGACGTGCTGATTAGGATCCAACTAGGACACATCAACAGAAAGGCAAGAAGAAAGGGCCACACAGAAATAAGAGTTCCACATCTTTCTTTATGTCTCTTTCCAGAATGAAAAGAGGGCAGGAGCTATAAATGAAGGCACGAGAGTCTTTGATTGTCTCACCTGGGGAAACTGGCAAAGAGGAAAGATGAGTGAGGATATAAAAAGTAGCAAGAACTGGAGAAAAAGCTCTGTCCCCAATCAAACATCCACTTTATCCCTCCTTCTATCATCTGTGATCTCCACTCCTGTTGTTAGGAGGTTTCCTGGACCATGTAAAGAAATGGATGCTAATTTCCTGGGGTGGATTTTTTGCCTGATCTGGCCTGTAGCTCTTTGGTCTAGCAGCTCACAGTCCTCCTTCTGAGCCATATTATTGTTTGCATTGAGCCTGGTGAATTCATTTTCTGAGGAATCTCAGGAACATCCCAAAGGCTCTGTTGTTGGGGAGGGGAGAATCTCATAAAAATCCAACAGCCCCCATGGTGGTTTCAAACTTTACTTAAGTCCCTAGAGGAATGATAACAATAGAACTGCATTTTTCCCTGTTCTTTGAGAGAGAAATATTTCTTTGTAACATTTTAAGATAAAATGAAAAACTGAAGATAAATTCCACACCTATTTTTAAAGGAATGCCAATCCATTATCACAAAATCTTTGTTTCTATTACTATTTTAACTAAATCTGATTTTACTTACAGATTGCATAAATTAATTTTGGTCTCATTTTTAAAGGTAGAAGTCATTGGGATTTTATAAGTTTCTCATTAGTGAGTCATTAATTAGGAGCTTGTTATTACTAGATTTAAAACATCTATTCAATATATTTCTTGTAATAGACTCTAAATCTATGCTTCCTATACAAATCTGTTTGAGATCATTCATAATCACAGCAGAAAAGCTCCTTTATATTCTTTCTTGTTTTAGCTTGCTGAAAAGAGACTCTGGAGTGGCACTCTATGCTTTAACTCCTCCTCTCTCTTTATTTCTTAATCAGAAATAGAATTTTCTATGGCAACCACCACTTTGTCCCTCCTTTCAGTATACTGTTCGTTTTAGACAATAAAAGTAATTAGTTTCATAAAGAAGAGCCAGGTCTAGCAACTCCCAGAGATTTTTCCCACTCCCTCCCCTAGCAACCATCACACGATCTGAAAATTTTTTAAGTAAAAACAACTTTTTCAGGAATATTTAAATTAGTGTTAACAAAACAAAACATTACAAGACAATTTTATTCAAGAATATCTTCTCTGAACCCCCTCCCATTAGGAGATGCTGGGAGGCCTGAGGACTGAGTCTATGCCGGGAGCAATGAAGTATCGTATAGAAATGTTGCCTAAAGAAACCCTGTGAATTCACTACCATTCTTACTACTACAGTAAAACAAGGAAGAGGAACACAAAATGTGGACATAGAGCCAACTTTAAAGTTTCCATAAAAATGTATTCTCAATCATGCTGGTCAAAGCACTTATTCTAAAATATCTTTTTTGTGTCTGAAATTCTGCCATTAAAAAATGAATTTCTATATTTTCTTTTCAAAAGCAAATTCCCCTGGAAGTAACAGAAATGAGATGATGTTTAGCTGAGAAAGAGAGGTTGTTTCGTACCATTGAGGGAAGGAGAAACAAAAAGGCAGATGAGAAGATACACAGATATTTTTCTTTAGATTTCAATTTGGCTAAAGGTCAGCCTGATGACATCAAATCTCTTTTGTCACAAGACACTCTGGAGGAGTAATTCAATCAATATTAATTAAATGTCTGTTTTGCAGTAGATGCTATTCCTATGCTAAGTCTATAAAAATAAGTAAGATCCCTGCCCTGAAGGATTCCACCATTTAAAGTTAGAATCAGATGTAATAGAAGTGTCCATAATAAAATGTGATTACAACAGAAACATCTTTTAGAGTTTACCATGTGGTAGGTATTATTGTTAAATATTTTATTTATATTTACTCATTTGATCCTCACCACAATCCTATTAAGTATTAGTAGTGGTATTATCCCCATTTTATTCATGAGAAAACTGAGACACAGAGAAGTTCAGTAATTTTCCCAGCCAGTAAGTCGCAAAACTAGGATTAAAAGTCCTACCGTCTGACTCCTGTGTCCTTTCCTTTAATAATTTCACTATGACATCAACACCATAAACACAGAGAAGCTATAAAAGCTCAAAGGAGCGAGCGATTATTTCTCCTTAGGGATCTTTGGAAAGGCTTTGCAAAAAGGTGACATGTGAGCTAGGCTATGAAGGATGAATGGTGTGGGAGGGTGAATGAATGTCAGACAAAGATGGTGGGGAAACACACTGAATCAGAGAGAAGAGCACATCTTTTGTGAAAGCAGGGATGTGTGATGTGCACATAATTTCCAGGGAAAACTATATTGGTAAAATAGAGGATGATGAGAAGTGGGAGTGGAAATGAGGAGAGCGTACAGTAGGGGGAGAGAAGGGGATGGTAGAAAGGAGACTAATCAAGTTATTGGGTTTCATATCTGTGTAGTAATGTCATATGTCGAGGTTTACCAGGAAAGTTCATGCATGATTTTTAATAGTGCCCATGTTCTCAAAAGTGTTCTGATTTGTAAGATAAATTATATGGACACTCTACTTCTGTATGAAGCTAAGAAGTTTTAACATAATAGTTTGGCAACAGAGACCCAATTAAAGTGTGGAGGCTTAATATAACCTAAGTCTGCCAAGAACATTTACCTGTCCAGCCAGTGCCAAGCACAGACTGGACAGGGCACTTCATTAGCAGAATAGAGAGGACTCTGCTTTCTTATACTCCCATGGGGAGTACTTAACACTTAACACTCAGTAATCTTTGCACCATCAGATGTAGGCTGTCTGACTCAGCCACTTACCAGCTAGGACCCTTTCTCTTCTGTTATCTGAGCTCCTGTAGCAACCTCATGGCAGAAATGTGATGGGAATGGAGCTCTCTTTTTTCTCTGTACTAAA